GTGTTTGTGTTTAGACTTAATCTGACAAGCACACTTGAGTATTAACACACACAGAGGCTTCATGAGTATCAGGGCCACTCACAGCACTTCGGCTCACACTCTTCAGTCTCTCAGAGTTCATCCTGCTCTTTAAAGGAGTAGTTCACTTTTGAAAAATCTTTTGCTGATAATTTACTCGCCCCCGTGTCATCCAAGATGTCCATGTCTTTCTTTCCTCAGTCGAAAAGAAATTAAGGTTTTTGATGAAAAAATTCCAGGATTTTTCTCCTTATAATGGACTTCAATGGGGACCAATCGGTTCAAGGTCCAAAAGACAGTTTCAGTGCAGCTTCAAATGTCTTTAAACGACACCAGACGATGAATAAGGGTCTTATCATGCGAACCGATCGGTTATTTCAAAGTTTATTCCAAAAATGTAACTTTTCTAAGGACAAATGCTAGCCTTGCTCTATTCTGTGAGGCGCGTTTGTAACGTCACGTAATACGTAATTACGTTCAAAAGGTCACGGGCGACGTAGCCGGAAATACAGAATCAAAATCGTCCGACATCGTTGTTTTACCTTTTAATTCCTTTTTCTGTAAACGGCGTTTGAGTTAGTTTTCACGTTCAACCTATGCGTTCAACTTGACTCTGTACTTCCGGCTACGTCGCCCGTGACCTTTTGAACGTAATTACGTATTACGTGACGTTACAAACGCGCCTCACAGAATAGAGCAAGGCCAGCATTTGTCCTTAGAAAAGTTACATTTTTGGAATAAGTTTTGAAATAACCGATCGTTTCGCATGATAAGACCCTTATTCATCGTCTGGTGTCGTTTAAAGACATTTGAAGCTGCACTGAAACTCTCATTTGGACCTCGGTTGGACCCCATTGAAGTCCATTATATGGAGAAAAATCCTGGAATGTTTTCATCAAAAACCTTAATTTCTTTTCCACTGAGGAAAGAAAGACATGGACATCTTGGATGACACGGGGGCGAGTAAATTATCAGCAAAAGTTTTTTCAAAAGTGAACTAATCCATTAATAATGTTCTCAAAAACGATAAAAATAAAAGGGGAAATGTTAAACCTTCAGCTTCAGATGTTCCTCCTAAAATCCCTCAAAGAGATGCGAAGTGAGAGTGTGTGTGCATCCGATCTATTTTCTGTCCTAAAGACACGACTGAGATCTTAAATGAGATCAAGTGTGTGATTTTGTGTCTCAGAAGCAGCGAAAGCAAAAGCCAGAGCACTGTAATGCTGCCGGACGTGTGTGTGTGTGTGTGTGTGTGTGTGTTTGTGTGCGTGTGTTTTATAAGACGCTGGACTTAATGTGACCAAAGCTCAACACGTGAGTCACACGATCAGCCACACACACACACACACACACACGCTTACACTCGTTTATCATGCATATTTATCATGGTAACACAGGTATGATCTCAGGTGAGTAACAGCTGCATTTTTACATGCATTTGGCGAGTGTTAATTTCAAACCCTGGTTACTATATCTAAAAATGTTTTTTAAAGAATGCATCTTTAATTAAAGTTTCCAGCAGGAATAACTGTATTGTGATACACACAGTTATTATAAATATAAGATTACTCATATTTTGGTCCTAATTAATTTCTCACAAAGGAACAGGCACATCTTCTGAGACACTTTTACTGTCCCGATCTCTGGTCCTTTCTTTTATTCCTCCTCTCTCTGTCTCCCGCTGCGTCTGACGCCTCGACTCTCTCGTTTGGGGAGCCACTAATAAACTTTGGAGCCGGGACTCTGTCTCGCTCTCGCTCACTCTCTCTCTCTCTCAGATCTCTCTGATTTCTTGCCCAGTTCTCTTCTGTTGTCCAAAATGACAAGCAACTTTTTCTTAGTCTCTCTCTCTCTCTCTCTCTCTCTCTCTCTCTCTCTGTCTGTCGTTTTCTTGCATTCTGCCCACTGTGACAAGACTGTGCCAGAGAATCACACACACACACACACTCGACAGCAGACACACAGCTGGACCCCAGCTGCTTACAAAGGCTGGGGTTTGGAAATCAATGAAGGCGAATGAAGAAAAAGGGAAAAGAGTTTAAATAAATTGGCACTTGAAAAAAGAAAACGCAAAGAGGCAATGGAGAGAGAGAGAGAAAGAAAATGTGAACAACGAGAGACAATAAGCAGAGAAATGAGCAGTAACTGAAGCACTTCGGCAAAACACAAAGCCGCAAGTTTCGCAAAAAAACAAAGATGCAACGTTTCAGATCACATGACATTCAGACGCCCGTGCCGTGAAATCTGATACATCACAAACTTGGCTCTAGTTGTGACAAATGCACACACTCACACACACACAAATTAACTCACTCACTCACTCTCACACACACTGTATCGTACAGGATTCCTCCATAGAAAGACATTCCCGGTGTTGTGGTCGGCCTGAACAACATCTGCGCTCTCAGGCTTGTTTTATGGCGCTGGTCGGATGAAAGCGTTCGTTCTTTGAGTGACGCCGGCAAAACGCAAAACTAGGTTTTTGTCTTTGTGTTTTAGGATGAACACAATCCATGATCCCACTGTCCACTGTCAGCCTGGATACACAACACACACATACTCACAAAAACTCTTGCACACACTGATAACAAGCAGACCTCGCTCACATAATTAATCTGAATCTGCAGTTCAACACATATAAAACTGGAGAAAAGTGCAGATGAGGCACGAAATAAGCAAAGAACGCACAACCATCCAGAGAAGTGATTGAAGCAATTGAGTTTTCTCTCTCCACAATCATCTGTTCTACATATGCACACACACACACACACACACACACTCTCTTTCTCTCTCTCACAAGCACACACACACTTTACAGAATGATTTGCACGTCATTGTTCAATATTTTTGTCATTCAACTCTGACACTATTGACACTTCCAGCAGTATTCAAACCTGTGAATGTCATCGCATTAGATATAAGATGTAAAGCAAGTGTCATTTACTGCGAAGAAAGATGCACAAACACACTTTTCAAATAAAGACGATACGTTTGACTTATTAAATAGATGTAAAGATGAAGACAGTCAGCATTGTGTTTGTTAAAATAGGTTATTTATTGGCATTAAATGTTATAAGTAGAAAATGGAACCACTTAAGATGCTTTATTTATATAGATTTTTAATATGTTCTTTACATAATTTAAGAAAAAAAATATATTTTAAGAAATGATCACTGAACGGTTCTTTAGAAAACTTAAAGAAAATATATTTTTAAGTGGATGATGTTGATAATGTGTGGACCGATGTCATATATCCATCAAAATCACATGATGATGAAAAGTGACGAAAAAACACAATTTTGATTGATTAGATGAACTTTTAAGCATTTTTTAAAGTCCTAGTGTTTGTAAAACTGACCAATAGTGGAACAAGAAGCAAAAATCTCAAGCGTTCCTTCTGTGCATCATTGACTAAAGATGAATTAATCTGACCGTCTACATGAACACACACAGGACATGTCTGTGTGTGTGTGAGGTGACAGGGTGGGCTTTAACCCGTTAGCTCTGGGGATCACACACACACACACACACATGGGTGTGAGCTTGACAAAACTCACACTTAAAGCACATCAGAAATGAGGAACCTCTGTAACCACACTCAAATACACACTGTCCTGCGAGCATCTCCAACGAAACGTTGAACACGACAACTTACATACACAACCGCTCAGCAAAGCACATTCACATCTCACACTCCTTTTTATACACGTATTGCAACAATTGCAGAGAACGATTGTCTCACATTCATATCTATACACTAATGCAGTGGATGAAATGTGAAATAAACAGGTTTAGTTTAGTTCGTCGAGTGACTTTACTGCGTAAAACAGTGTTGATGAGGAACTCTTTACATTCAAGAACGACAAAGAATATTTTAAATTTAATACTGTTGATTTTTAAGATTTTAAGTTGAATGCAATTTAAATATGGATTTTTAAATTAATATGCATGATTGGACACACTGCATTTCTGTTTTAATGTCCTGACAAAACACTCTTTTTTAAAGACAAGTATAATATCTACAATGTAGGGTTGCAAAGTTGCTCATTTAATTAACCTTAACAATACTAACAATAATTAAAGAATGAAGGTCAATTACACTAATTTCGAACTTACAATGAAACGTTCAGGCTTCATATTAGCAGAGAAACTGCGTTTGTAAAAATTATAAATAACTAATTCTCTATACTAATTTACTTGATATTAGTGCATATTAGATCATTAAATACTCTCAGATCGATTACAAAATTACACTGGTATTCAGGGACATGTTTAGATTGTTCCTGGTCGTTTAAAGACAATGTCAGTAAATTAAGGAGTGCCACAAGGATCTGTGTTCGGCCCTCGTTATTTTCAATATGTATGCTGCTACTCATATTACAAGAAAAAATGGAATTAGTTTCCACAAATTACATTCAATTGTTTATTGCATGAAATCTGTAAATAAATCATCCAAGTGTGTTAAAGATATAAAACATTGGATAACCTGTAATTTTCTTCTATTAAATTCCGATAACTGAGGAATTACGTATTGGACTGAAAGCAATTAATTAAAGAACGACATAATTCATAGTTGATGACATTAATTTCAAAGTCAAAGTAATCTTCTTAAGCATATATAATATACTATGAGATTCTCCACTCAATTTTTTTATTGACCAATAAAAATAGAAACAACTTTTGTCCATTAGTAGCCTAAACCCCAGATATTAACTCTGAGGAAGTGCAACAAATAGTGCCGCTGAATGTTGTAAAGTCGATGCAAACGTGATGCTGAGGACTGCAGAAATGATGAAGTTCTGCAAACTCTGACAGTCAGTGTTCAAACAATATTTCATTTATCCGTGTTTGCATGGATTAATAGTTTGGGAAGTAGTTTGTCCGAAGGCTGTGCGCTGATCTCGTTAGTTTAGCGGAATGAATGACTGCAGGAATAAACCCGGACACTTCTCAAACTTCTCGTGCACGACTGACTGACTGACCTTGGTTCCTGCGCGGGTTCGCTTGTTTCCTCCGCTTTCCTCGGATCCTCTCCGTCATGTCGGCTCCGTGTTGACCCGGGGATCGCGCGCACGGATCGGTGGGATAAACGCGTGAAGTGTCGCTCCGCATCGCTCGCGCTGTGACTGCAGTGGCGCTCAGACGCGCGTCGCGATCACAGGCTTTGGTGATGTCATCATCATCATCGGAGGCAGGTCTGGGGTCAGCCCGGAGTGTGTGCTGTAAGAAGAGAGAAATTGTGCAAAAGAAAGTGTGTTAGTTTCTAGTTGGAGTTTTTATTTATTTTTTATTTATTTTTTAACAAAAAAATAGTCATTTATGTTCATGTCCGATTGTTAGAAACGTTAAATCATGTCATGCTGTGGAGCTTGTAATATATGACATAAACTATATGACAGCCATGCATTTCAAAGAATTTCACCAGTGTTATGACAAAAAGTGATTTAATTTTTTTTTTAGTAATTTTCATAATATATTTGATATGCGTAGCCCGTGTAGGCCTAAATTAAAAGCGCATACTTAGCATTAATGTTGCATGTATGTTATTAATCGTAAAAGGCAAACTACCCGTGCGAAAAACTTGACCAAATAAAATGTTAAAGTTAAAATGGTAAAATTGCATACATTTTTGCGTGCAAAAAAAACAACACTTTTTTATGGGCCACGTGAATATTCTACCTGTAAAAATAGCGCAAACGTTATATGCACAGGTAGTGTTGTGTGAGCGAATCCAACCTGTCCCCCCCATCAGCTCCCCTCTCCTGTTGATCGCTGTAGGAAGTATTGCATTGTCACCTCTTTTGTGCGTGTAATTGAACGGTAATCTGTTTAGCAACTGAAAAAGAAAACATCAGAAAAACTCAAACGCACCGTTTTAGGACCCCTACCTTGGCATTCACACAGACTCACACACACACACACCCACCTGAACGCGCACTGTCATGATAATGCCCGCGCAATACTTCCTGAGGCGCGCGAGGTAGGGTGGACCTTGATCCCTAACCACTTCGAAATAAATAACTTTTCCCCCTTTATATTATGTTAATGGTTAAGTAGCCTAATTAATGACATTCCGCTTGCTAATTATTATTAATATTGATGTAATTTGTTTTCTTGCATTATTAGTCAAGGATTTACAGTGAGGCTACTAGCTTACTAATAACACACGATCTGGGATATATTATATTCTTTTCTGCTCTTAGAAAACTATCGATTATATGTTGCCTTTGTTATTTATTATTTTCCTGGCTCGCGCCACAGAAAAAAGCGCGGCAACGAACTTATGGATTCTGAGGGGAAAATAACTTTAATCGTTGTTTTTACAACAGCGGGCAGATTTCTCTTTTTGTCTGGTAAAAAACTTTCTTACAAACATATAAGAAAACCCACAACGCCAAATATTAGGCTAATGACAGAGATTTTGAGCATAAACGTCGTAAATTTTAAGACTTACCCTCCGTAACGTTGTCTGTGTCCAACATTGTCTCCGTAAGTTAACGTTGTCTGTGTTTCCTTTGATATCTGACTCTCTTTTTTGCAGTTATTCTACACAGAATGCCAACGGGATGCGTTTAGAAAAATAATGTGTGGTACAATGGTTCAATTATGATATCTGCTGCTAATACTGGCCTATGGTAGGCCTACTTTAATGTCCAGAACAGGAATGATTACCATATTAATTCCAAGGTATTAAAACTAACACTTTATTGTGGTTTCGTTTAACATTATCCTGTGCAAATGCTCATTTTAAAGAGCAAAAGCGCTTGTGTTTGTCGTTTCTAATGGACATTTGTTTTTAGGGACTTAAAGTGTTTCAGGTGGTGAAACTGAAAGCCAGAGAAAAGGAGAAGAGATGAGAGGTCACACAGTCCTTTTGTCTAGGAGAGGAAAAGAGATGGAACAGGTCATAAACCTACACCCTGCTGTGGATCTTGGATGTGAGGAGAAAAGCCTCATTCACCTTTAGAACACATGATGGTAAGAAAGTGTCATTTGCATTAATGCTATAAACGAGGAACATTTATGTGCAAAGAGTGCAGTGTGCAATGAGCCTAAAAACAGTCGTAAGTGTGTAAATCTGGGCACCACATGGTCCCGAACACCTAAAACACACTGAGGGACGCCCTAGGGTGGGGTGTCCCGTGGGATTTCCAGCGTGCCAGGGTTTGGCAGGGGTTCAGAGAAGGAGCAGAGGGAGGAGTCTTCTTTAACAGCATATTAAACAGGAGTTAATTATACGCCAACCTTTGTGACAAAGAGAATAAAAAGCCTCGACTTGAATGGCAAACCAAGAAAAGAAAAGTCATTATGCTGGTTTCACTTCTTTGCATGTGAAAACCTCAGCGCTTATTTTGCCATTTCCATTTGTATCAGCAACCTCAGCTCAGAAGATTGTGGCTTAAGTCAGGCTGTAGATCTGCTAAACCTCTGCACTCTCCTGCAGATCTCATCTAACTAGTGCATTCGCTATATCAGTTCAGTGTACTGAGTGCATACAGCAGGAAGGGTTTGCATTGTTTAATGAGAGTTAATGAGCATCTCAAAATAAACATACATTTTTGCTTAATGATTTTAAATTCAAAGTAAAAGCAAACTAGACTATTTTTATTTTTGCAAAATACGCAATTTTTCACTCCTCAACAAACCACATGATTTTAGTAATCGTTCATTGCACAAACAATATTCAATTCTTGAGCCATCCCTAAGTATTAGTCATGCACCGATATGCACATTTATTTTATAACTCTATATTTGAAAACCAATAACCGATATATTGGCCGATAAATCTAAAATCCAAATTTTAATATAATTTTATAATCAGGCACTAAAAAATTATATCAAAATTTGGATTTTAGATTTATCGGGCAATTTATCGGTTATTGGTTTTCAAATATTTTTCAAATAATAAATCAATATTTTAAACAAAATTTCACCATTAAAATCCACAATTATAATGTTCTCATTATAATTGTATGTACTTTGTATGACAGACTTGCACTGAACTGTATTTCACTTTTTGAAGTGATTATAATCATATTTTAAGCACTTCAGTGCGTATAAGTGTGTCAGCTAAAGGAAATAATCCATTATTTATCAGCTTTTATTATATATTGTCCCAATTTTCTTATCGGGCCAATAATGATAACATTAAAAATGAACATATATCAGCCGATACCGATATAGTGGCCGATATATCGTAAGTATGAGTATGAGTATATATATATTTTTTTTAAGTATGAGTATATAATTTTTTAGTGCCTGTTTTATAATCAGGCACTAAATAATTATATCAAAATTTGGATTTTAGATTTAGGCCTATCGGCCAATATATCGGTTATTGGTTTTCAAATATTTTTCAAATATTCAAATATTTTTCAAATAATATAAACCAATATTTGAAACAAAATTTCTCCATTAAAATCCATTATTATAATGTTCTCATTATAATTGTATGTACTTTGTATGACAGACTTGCACTGAACTGTATTTCACTTTTTGAAGTGATTATAATCATATTTTAAGCACTTCAGTGCGTATAAGTGTGTCAGCTAAAGGAAATAATCCATTACTTATAAGCTTTTATTATATATTGTCCAAATTTTCTTATCGGGCCGATGACGATAACATTAAAAATGAACATATATCAGCCGATACCGATATAGTGGCCGATATATCGTAAGTATGAGTATGAGTATATAATTTTTTTTTAAGTATGAGTATATAATTTTTTAGTGCCTGTTTTATAATCAGGCACTAAATAATTATATCAAAATTTGGATTTTAGATTTATCGGCCAATATATCAGTTATTGGTTTTCAAATATTTTTCAAATAATATAAACCAATATTCCATTACTTATCAGCTTTTATTATATATTGTCCAAATTTTCTTATTGGGCCGATAAAATAACATTAAAAATGAACATTTATCAACCGATACCGATTTAGTGGCCGATATATCGTAAGTATGAGCAAAAGTAAAGGATACTTGCCTGAGCCAAAACCACTAATGATGAAGGAGGGACGATGCGAGAGGGCTAATGAGGATGTGATGTGAGCGAGGTAAAAGAGGATCGGACGGTTATAGATCAAATAACAGACGGGAGAACTGAGTCAGAGCTGAGGAGTTGGCGATGGATGGCACGTCTTCATTGGTTACACACCGCACACAGTATTAGATCCATGGGGCCGAATCAGGGTACCAGGGACCGAGAGCTACAGCATTATACACTCAAACACACACTGGCATGTAGTGCAGGAAAAGCTTTCTTTTGATCTGATAATCAGGGACAGGGAAAGGCCAAGTATGGAGAGGATTAGCTTTGTCACAGAGATTTCAGTATTAGTGAGCAAAAATGTTCTCTTTGTAACTAAAGGAGGAGGGATCTTATATGTGTGTGGCGCTCAAGACTTAACAAAGATCATGAGCCGTAGTGCTGCCGCCATCTAGAGGACATCTGATCAAAATAATGCCGTGAACACATATACGTAACGTAGCATTTACAGTCTTTTTTCAACTGCTTTACACTCAAATCCGGAAATCTCTGGCTAAACGAAGCACTGCATTCAAAATATCACAAACATCTCAAAAGCAAACGTTGCAAACACCTTTGCCATAATATTATATTTGTGGACATATCATATACACACAGTTATTGAAAACCTGAAGCTCTTCTTTAAAGATTGAAAGTAATCGGCTGAGAAATGTTGAAAAATTCACGGTAAACACAAAAGAAAGATTGAAATTAAACTGCATTTGTGATCGTGAATACAGTTTTACACTGTCCAAAAAAACCTATAACTCGACCTTTGACCTTTCATAGGCCTATTCTAAAGCCATGATTGGTGTTCAATAAAGCAGTGAGTGTTTGCACATGTGAGGAGTGTGTTTGAAATAGGAAATCATAGAGAATTGAGTGTTGTGTTTTGCAAAAAGTGTTTTATGAAATTGAAAACTGAGTGTCAGGTTTCAGAAACTGTGTGACAAGTGTAAGCAGTTGAAAAAACTGTAAAACACACACACACATTGTGTTGTTGTCCAATATTTAGTGTGTTTTCAAAAGAAACACTCTATAGTACACACATCTTCTTCTTCCATCACAGGCTCTGTTTATTTATAAACTGGTGTAATATAGTACCTTTGTACAAAAACGTAGAAAACGGTACGCAAAAATATCACTTGTAAATAGATGCGATAAATGCTAATATCATAAATCTGTTACTACTTGAACTTTTGCCAGCAAAAAAACGTTTGAGTGAACTGTGACAGATATAAAAACACACAGAAATGCAAAATCCACAAAATGTTTTTTTTTTCTTAAAAAAAAAAGAGGAAACATTCTTTATCACAGCAATATTGAAGCACATGACGGCGTTTCTCGCAAATATCAAGTGTGGCCTCGTCTCAGTGCCAGTCGTCTTTGGTATGCCACAGAAAGTGGAAACACTGGGATTTGTTAAAGGGTTGAGTCCGTACCGCCTCCTCAAATAACACTTAAACGATAAAAAAAGAGATAAGTGTTGAAATAACAGAGGACGTAAAACCGAAAGCTTGACGAACATCAAGTACCTGCACTGTATGTAACTTATTCATACTATATGGAAACTATATCATAAAAGTTCATCACTTCTCCTCAGCTCAGTGCTGTTGTCAGTGCAATGCATATGCATGCTAGCTTGGGTTATGTAGCGCAGCGCAGACTAACGAGAAACATTACAATAAACACATCTCAGTGCCGTTACCCTTTAACGTATCCGTCTGAAAGCAGACTAGTCAAACAATCAGAAAACAAACACTACAACTTTGAATGAATATTATGATTCAGAGGCACTTGTCTAGACCTAGAGAGATAATTGACAAGTCTTTAAAATACTGTTCTGTAATCTGCCATTATGGCAGTAAGAAACGAGTTTTAAAAATACACACTTTCTCTTAAGCCCAAAG